TTTTCTTCCTACTAATTTCAAATAAAAGTTTTCTAAAACCAGAGTTGGTCATTATGAAGATTTTATGTTTCCTTGATATTGGGGAAATTAAATAGATGAAACTGATCCTAAAGAAATTGGAAATTGTTTTTAAATTAAGGCCTGAAGCCAGGTGCAGTGGTACGTGTCTGTAGTCTCAGCACTTCGGGTTATAAGAATTCAGGGACAACATAGTTAGTTCAAAGCCAGCCTGAACTACATAGCAAGACCCAGCCCCAAAACAATAAAATATAAAATAATACCTGGGGCTTTAATAGAGATGTAAAGAGCCTGGAACTCTCAAGTGAACAAATTGAGGTTTAATTCTAGCTCTAATTTGTCCAACCAGGTTAAAGAACTTTGAGTAAAACAATAATCTCCTTGAAGCTCTGTAAAATGTGAAAAATAAACAGAAATAATCTAATTAGGAACACTTAGTCCACTGCCTGGCATTATAAAAACCCATTGTTTTCCAATTTACTTGGAGTTTAACGTGTTTATAATGGAGCCCTAATTTGTATCTCTCACACCAAGCTGCTTGAACCACCATTGGTACACACATGGCTATCCCATCAAACAGCTTTTTAATAACTTTATTAGTAAAAAGTCCAATAAACATGATTAAATCCACTCACACCACCAGTGGCACAAGTCGTCCAGTGGGACAGTCAGTAGTGAACATCAGCAGTCCAAACCTGTGGGGCTGTGCTGAGAACTGCAGAGTTCTTCTCACCTACATGCTTCTCTCAAGGGCTTTCTCCTACCTTCTGTATTACTAATCACTCAGTAATTGTATCCACTTGGTTCAGCAACACACCTACAGCCCCTGGGAAAGACCCAGAAGGTAGCAGATTCTCCCATTATATTGATTGCCAGAATGAACTGGGTACCCCATGGATCAGACACGGGGTCCATGGTGACAGAGGTAGATAAGACAAGACCCTGGCTACTGTAGAGAGCAGAGACCATGTGAGAAAGTGACAGTTCAATAATAAATGACAATAAAATGTGAAAAGTAATATGACAGGAAGAGAACTAGTCACCCTGACCTCTACCAAGGAGATGCCAGGAAGAGAGCTCAGTCAGTAAGTGATATGCGTGACCCCAGCCCTAGGTCCAGGGAGATGAGCACTCGCTAGATGGTGGTTACAGTCTTCCTTATTACTTACCCCAGCCACCAAAAAAAGTGCAGCTGAGGTCTCTATAGTATTGTCTCAACATTGTCATATTTGCTATCCAACTACAGTACAACTGATTTCTCAGCTATAACATAGGAACAACAAAATTACTTAACCTGCCCACCTCATGAGGCCAATTTGGAACACTTCTTTGCTCCTTATGAAGTAGACACTATTTGAAAAGTAAATGTCAAGATCATGTCTTTCTGATAAAGGAGAATTCTCCATGGGACAGGTCTGAACAGATGGGTCATACAAGGTTTATTTAAACAAGTTTGGGAATGCTGGACTTTCTGGTATCTATTATAGTGATATTCAATGAAATAAGATTCTGCAGTTGGTTCAGAGTAACTTGATTTCTGAGAGAGTGTGGTCACGATTTGAGAAGTGCAAATTAAACCTGTAAGAGGAACTTCTGAAAGTAACTCACCTTCCCCCTTGCAATTTTTATTTTAAGAAGAAAAGGACTAGGAAAAAGCAAGTTAGAGAACCTTGTTTTGAATTTTTCCTGAAGTTTTCCATGGAAGCTTCCTTGGCCCAGATTTTACTTTTGCTTCCTAACTGCTTTGACAAGGAGCCCACTCTTCCTTGTCTGAATTGAGTTCCAGAACAGATAGGGGTCAGATTGCCATTAGCTCCCAGTGCTCTTATGGTGACCTATTTCAACCCAGACTGTTGTCCTTTAAGGAAAGTGAGTGGTGTAGGGTGTTTGTAAAAGCATTTTTAACAGAGTTCAAGACTGAAATTCATTTTCTAAGTAGAAGTTCAGCAATGGCTCCATCTAAACATAATGCTGCTACTTTTAGTTTATGCCTTTTGGAACTGCTGTTCATGCCTTAGTTACTGCAGCCATATTTGCTATATTTTTGATCATTGCTTCTGGCAATATATTTTGGTAATGCGGCAGGCAGTATTAACATGGAAACATAATGCTTGGAATATTTTTCTGTTTCATTTCCAGGGCCCCAATTCAGTCATGATTGTCCTTGTCATGCTGTTGAATATCGGATTGGCCATTCTTTTTGTCCACTTTCTAACTTGATTGGAATTAGGAAAGGTAAGAATAGCCTTAATTTCTATACAAAATTACATTAAAAACATTCTGTTCTCATAATCAAATTTATAATTGTTTGAACAATGACATATTGTCCTTCACTTTAATTTTGGCTGTGCCTGAATGTGATTCAACGTAGTTACTTAATGCTGTAACTGTTTTGACCCTTCAGTGAAGTCAATGACAACTAGTGGTGTTAGCCCACAGTTCCCTGCCGTGCTGTCGTCAGCCCTTTAAATGGCACGCCCCAGTCAGACTCAGACACAGGCAAGGAGGCTTGGAATTAGCATGGGATCGCGAGAGAGATGAAACTTGGAAAATGCAGCCCGAGGACCTGTTCAGATCCCTGGGGAATGCTTATGGCTTTGGGGTTCTCTGGGAGCTGAAGCACGCAGCCATGTTGGAGAGCAAAACTTATTAATAATTCTTTTTTAAAATCTGCTGAAGCAGCCCCATCCGGCGAAGTTCTTGGCATTGGCTACTCCATCTGTCCTAGCAGAGTGTGACTAAACTGGAAATGTATGGAGCTGCATTTTTTTTTTTTTTTTTGATGGAAGTCAACAGCTGTCTTACTATTTTACCATCTGACGTTTTTAGTAGGGAGCTGGGGAAACGACTGCCCGAGGAATGCAGTCAGAGGATTGTGTTGCCGTGGGCGTGGCTCCAACACTCACTCCTATCTTATTAGAAGAAATAGGTAGCAGCATCACTCACCAGTCTTATGCCATGACCTGCTGCTTTAACATTTCCTGGAATGTTCTGGGAGAGAATGTTTCGTTTGCTTGTGCACGACTCTGCTAATTTTCGCTGTTTATTTAAATATGATGTATAGTCATCTACCACCTGCAATCCTGGCTGGACAAAACAGACATCTTGTATCTCAAGGAAAAGAAACAACAAAGTGCTAGTGAAGATGTGTTTATTTTGATAGCAATACATTATTTTTCATGTCATTTATTCTTCCTAAACCTAGAAAGGCCTATCTATCTTTAAAATATAGGGTTCTGGAGGCATTATGCCTTCCTAAAAAATAACTTATTTTAAATATTTTTAACATTACTGAGATGAATTGTTTATGCACTTTTAAGAGGTGCTAAATTTTAAAAGCTGAAAGACAACAGACTTCTAAGAGGTACAGTCGAAATGTCGCATGGACTGTGGTAATCAGTGTTCAAAGGATTCAGTTTCACTGCTGACGTACTTTACAACCAAATAAAATCTTGTCAGTGGCTATGTTAATTCCCATGAAAGTTAAGCAAGATGCTATTAATAACTGCTCATCTCTTTTTCCCCCCCAAGTTAAGTTTTTGTTGAATACATTCAGGTAGAGCATAAAGCTTTGTTAAATCACTGCCTCTCAATTTTTTTGCCTTTTGTGTTTTTCAAAGTCCTTTTGTAATTTCATTTCAAAATTTAAAGGCATAGACAGTTTTATTTTAAATATTTGTCTTGTGCAATCCTTTGTTATTCTGACATACTCTGATTTTTTGTCATTGTTGTTGTTTTATAATTTATCCTTTACTACTCAGAAGCATGCTTACTTAGAGAAACTATGTGGTCTTTACAAAAATAATTATTTAAAAAGAAATCAGGGGAGGAAAGGTATGTGCTAAATCTCTTTAAGCATTACCTATGGAAGGGGAGCTCTGCCTAAATATTTTCATGATTTGCATGGGTTTACTCCGATTCTTTTTTACCCTTTAGCTACCTTTTCAATGCAGAAGAGATAGTTCCCCTAATCCCCACGTTAGCACAGGTGTGGACCGCATGCTTTGTCACCTGTAGGGCAGTAACCCAGTGGTGTCTTTTGCAGAAGTACACTATGTTGAGAATCCTGGGTGTGACCAATATGGAAAAAAGAAGAAGGCAGAAAGAGAGCAAATGAAAAATTACAACTTGTATATTTATTTTTTACATTTTGCTTTAACTTTTAAATTTAGGAAGCACATTTTTACCCAAGAACAAACATTTAAGTTCCTGTAAAAGCCTAAGAACTTTCACTGCTCCTTCCTTACCCTGTAGCTCCTTAATGATGGAAAGCTGATTTTTTTAAGAAAATAAAATATGTAGTCTTATTAAGTGTTTATTTAAAATGTGTAATGTTTTGGAAATAATGGGTAACAGATAATTAAAAGATATGTTTATAAAATAAGCATGTTGGTTCCATTTATAAATATATGTATGATTTATAAGCTTTTTTAAAACAAAGCTCAAATTGTTGGTATTTTTCTAAAATGTGCACAGCTGTATTTTACATGAAGGCTCTTTCTAATGGGTTGTTATACTGTACTCTACATTTTGGACAGCACATGAAGTCTGCCAATGTACTTAATAAAACATGACTTTGTTTATTTAAAATTTATTGCTGTGAAAAAAAAGAACTCCCTAATCTGTGAGTTACTTTATTTATAATCTTTGAAACCAAAATGTATAATGTACAGTTTTCACAACTGTATCTGCTCTAATAAAGAAGTTGGTTATTAATAAAGTTGGAGGTGTGTTTCTTTTGTGAGTAGATTACTGTCTTGAGTTATGTGGGCTTTTTGGCAATGATGGTGTTAAA